TAGAAGAGTGCATCATTGACAACAGCACAAGGTGAACACATTACTGGACATATTAGGCATTGTTCAACATTGCCTCTACAAACACCAAGGGCAAATGACAGTTGTTTTCTGTTAACACCTCTCCTCATGATGTCAGGGGTTGGCTGGCCCTGTGAGTCAGGGAAAAATACCCTTTGGAAGATATCACTTCCCAGGTCTATGTCACACAAAAATGACAATGACTTGCATCAACCTTCTCAAGCCATATAATCACATATTGCAAAATACCATTTAATCCCTTATATGATCCTCTCTCTCAACACTGTTGGTGACACACATGGTGTTATATCTATAAACACTACTATCTCCAATATTGAGCATGCTTCCCCAATAATAAAGAAATATTTGAAACCAAATGTATATCTTTATTTATATATATATATATATATATATATATATATATATATATATATATATACAACATGCCTGGCCATACACACAATCCTGCAAAATCCTTGTCGAAAACACAATTATACTTCAACATGAAAACAAAACTAAAAATCCTTGAAGTAATATACATCAAACAGTTGAAATCCAACCTAAACAAAATCAACTATGGAATCTCTACAAATATCCTTAATTGTCTATAATTGGTAACAGAAGCCATTGGATTATACCAATGGCTTCCCATACATAATACTTCTCGAATTCACTCTTGCATGGTCATGTGTGACGTCATGAGCTGCGGTGCGATTTTCGCTTCTAACATCTTATATGCACGTGTTTATCGTTGCTTGAAAATCATCCATGTAAACAATCACAGACTAACATCACTGTCTTGTCCGTATATTGCTTAATATGTTGTACAGTAATTAACATCTTTGATAATGGCATATGTAAGCATAGATTGGATTAAAAAATATGGATCAATATTGTGATTTTCTTTCTTCGTTTAATGATAATGTTATTAAGCTTATCAGACGTTATGAAAAGAATTTACGCAAAATAAATAGACAGCACTTGTCTATATTATTTAATGAAACATGTATGAATGAAAAAATGCTGCCTAAATACACACAATATATATATATATATATATATAGTTTTAAGGTGTGCTATATTTATGGGACAAAGTGCTCAATATCAGAGATAGAGTGTATGTAAATATAAATATAAAAGTGAACATTGAAGTCAACACTCAGGGGCGACAGGCCGTTTCATGCTAGACACAATCGCCAGGCCACTTGATGACTACATCTAGCATGAAACAGCCTGTCACCTCTGAGTGTTGACTTCATGTTCACTTTTATATATATATATATATATATATATATATATATATATATATATATATATATATAGAGAGAGAGAGAGAGAGAGAGATAGATAGATAGATAGATAGATAGATAGATAGATAGATAGATAGATAGGAAGGGGAGGATAAAAAATCTACATATACTTGCACGTATGTATAAATATATTTCTTCCTCAAGTGTTATAAATACAGTGCTACCGTTTTTTGGATATTATGTATATTCACTAATATATATATATATATATATATATATATATATATATATATATATATATATATATATAATTTAATTAAAGGCAACTGACAACATACTGTGATTAAGCTTTTTATTTAATTTTCCTTGTGTTTGTACTAGGGTTTTCTTTTCTGGACACAAAATGTGTAAAAACTGTCTAAATGTTTTGCATTTCCATATAACTGAAAAATGTGAGCAGCTCAAAAATTTTAGAGAAAATGGAAACAAAAAAGAAACTTATAGATAACAATCGGGAAGAGATAGTTGATATTTCTAGGGTGAATAAAGAAGAAAAAGGGCTTGGAAAATTTGATACTCACATGACCTACTGAATGAAAGAGGGATAGAGGAATACAATGCAGTGAGCTTGAGTAAATGGATGGCGGAGCAAGGCTTAGAAGAGACAACAAAAAGAACAAAATTTATGAAGAGCTACAAAGAAATTATGGAAAGCCATGATCACCCACATCCTGAAGAGAGACAGCACACAGAAGAAGAAGAAGAAGAAGAAGAAGAAGAAGAAGAAGAAGCTGTATTTAATTCTCTACCAATCATAATGGATGTATATGGTGGTGTAATGGATATCATCTCGGAATGAGAACTCAGAGAGCTGCGTTCAAATCCCAGTCATGTTCATTATATTCACTTACACACTAATACCCTTGGGAAAGGTATGAATCCACCTCTTCTCTCCCCTCAGCTATGGGTTGAATAGCAGGACAGAATGAGTTCTTTAGCCTTGGTTGGCAACCAGTCTACCACAAAAAGAAATGGCAGCCTACTCCTGGAAAAATCTTCTACCTCGTCAGTCCTGTATCAAAAGATAAATTATCAGCCAAGCGTGTATCATATGTGGCACTTAACTGACTGACCACTCATAAAGGCTGAGTAACTCAATCAGTAGAGAATAGGCAGAGACAAATGGATTGAGAGTTCAAGTCTTGTTAGGGATTTTTTTATTTATTTGTTTCTGAACAGCACTCATTAGTCCCTGCTGTCAGTAAGTTATGTGCCTTGCATGATACACACATAAGTGATCATGTATCTTTCGATACATGACTGACAAGGCAGATTTTTTTTCCTGCAGTAGGTTGCCATTTCTTTCTGCAGTAGACCAGTTGCCATCCAAGGCTATAGAACCTGGTTTGTCCTGCTTTTAACCTATAGCTGGAGGGATAAGAAGAGGATTCATACCTTTCCCAAGGATATTAGCATGTAAGTGAATGTAATGGATTTGACTGGAATTCGAACTCAGCTCTCTGTGTTCAAATTCCAATCCCTGCTGTAGAGTGACCATTTGAGTAATTGCAATGAAAATCAACTAAAAATTATAATGAAAGAAATACTAATACCAATAATGATAGACAATACTTTATGTAATAAAAATTTAATATAATATTACTATTATGATGACAACAAATAAAACAACTTAAATTAAGATGAAAATTTTCTCTCCAGAATCCATCTTACATTTTAAACAATCCATTTTTGAGTGCATTGAATATTATTGCCATATCTGGTCTAGTGTTCCTGCTATATATCTTGAAATTCTCAACAAAATACAAAGAATTGTCTATAATGTTATCAGTCCTAACTAAGCATCTTGACATCAGTCATTTCCCAACAACCATTACATGCCTTCTCTCTGGCTTTTCTATAAATATTTTCATGGTAATTGTTCTGATGAGCTCTCTTCCTTGGTACTAATAGTATTTTATTTGGTTTCTTGTAAATAGTTTTGTTTGCATATTGTAAATGCTCATTGGGGTTAGTTTTTGAATGTTTTTTTTTATTCCCTCCCACCACAGACAATGATTTGTATATATGAGGACTAGTTAAGATGTTCATAGAGACAATGAGGTATTATGGTGAATGTAGTAAGAAAGGTAAGTAAGAATGTGTTGTTTTGGTGTTAGGAATATTGTGGTATGTTTGGGTCAGTGTTTGTGGCTAGCTAAGTTTAATGTTAAGACAGAACAAGACTGTCCTTTTCCTTGTTCCCCATTTTTGGCCTTCTGCCACATTTTCTGTATTGAAGTGGAAATATCGCTCTCTTCCTTGGTACCTTGTCTGCATGAATTTATATAGATTGGTAAGTAAGTTTCACTATTTTACTATTGAAATAGCTAGATCTACCCGTGTAGTGTAGTGTTACTGACTCAAGGGAAGTAGTATGCACTCAACTGCCCATGGGTAATAGCCATAGCTATAATCTTTGTGACTTCCTATGTAAATGAGTCACCATAAATTTTATTCTCATATTTTCTTTTCTCATACTTCTCACCTGTGGAACTCTTCTCCAGTTCCTTGCTTCCCTGCCATCTATGATCTTCAAAATTTCAAATGCAACCTCAATCGCCATCTCCTGTCCTTCTAAATCCTGTTTTCTTAATGTCCTTTCTCATTACAGAAATTTTCTTAATCTCTTTCACTCTCAGCAACCCCTGGTGTCTTAGTAGCATTAGTAGTAGCATCATTGACTTACTTACAGTAAATGATTAAAAATAGGATGAAAGAAACACTAGTCAAATATTAATAAATGCTGACAATGTTTTATTTAATAAAAATTCTAAATAATATTACTAATTACTAAATACTACAATTATAAATAAAGCAACTGAAATGAAATAAATACTAGCCAAATATTAATAATGGCTGACAATGGTTCATTTAATAAAACTTCCAGATAATATTCCTGTTGCTGATACTACAAATAAAGCAACCGAAATTAAGATGGAAGTAATGCTAGTTAAGTATTACTAATGACTGACAATCAGCATCATCTAATAAAAATAAAATATGCAAATCAACATAAAAAATTTATCAAGAGGCACATCTGAATAAATTTTCAGCCTGTGAATAACTGTTTATCAGTGTGTTATTTTCACATGCATTCATTGTACTCAAGACTGTCACACCTGTGTGGGCCTGTACAGTCATAACAGATGCTGCATTGCCATCAGCAGCTGCAGCATAACTTTTTAGGTAGAGATCAAAGGTTTCTCAAGAATGATGGATATAACACACACACACACACACACACATCAGTGTATTTATATTTGGTAGGGTGAGAACTTTGGCATTCTTATCTTCCTTAATGGCACAAATTAGAAATAATGACTGAATAATCTGAACACAGTTCGCTAGTGTTTTAACCACTAAGCCACTAACAAACTCTTCACTTTTTAATACAGGCTGTATACATGTACATTTTAGTCAATATTTTTATCTTATCAAACAATTTTAATGTGGACGGATGTTAACTTAAATATATTCTGATATGTAATCAGCATTTGATGAATAAACAAAAAGTGCTATTTTTTATTAATTTTTTACCTCTCTTTTTTATTTGTTGCATCTCATTTTCTCTCGTATTTGTTCTTACTCTTTCATCAAAGTCTTCTTGCTCTCCCTCCTTTCTCTCTCTTTTTTCTCTCACACACACACTCTCTCACTCTCTCTCTCTCTGAGCTTCCACTGGGCTACCTTTCTTTCTCATCCCTGTTCTTACTCTTGCCTCTGGGCCATATCTTTCTGTGTCTCTAACTCCTTCTGAATTTAATTGGGTTACCTCTCTTTCTTTCCCTCTCTCTCCTGTTCTTATTCTTTTATCTGGGCCATCTCTCTCTCTCTCTCTCTCTCTGACCTTCCACTAGGTTACCTCTCTTTCTCATCCCTGTTCTTACTCTTTCTTCTGGGTCATTTCTCTCTCTCCTTTTGATCTTCCCCCAGGTTAACTCATCTTTCTCTCTTGTTCTTACTCTTTTCACCTTTCTTCTCAACTCTGGGTGATCTCTCTCATTCACACATTCTGGGCTGCTTACCTATATATGGTAATTCAAGCGAATTGTAAATATATAAGACAATTTTTGAAAACTTCTACATTGACATGTTTCACCTGTGAACCATTACCGTCAGAAAAAATAAAATTATTTCACAAAAACAAAATCTACATTTGTGAGACAAAATGCTTGATTATTAATTTAATAAATATTAAGTTTTAACTAATTTCAGCATTTTGTGATTTACATATTCCACATTGTTTCAGAACTAATTTTATAGAGAAGGGTATAAACTGAAACAATTTGATTGTATATTGTTGTAATGGAATGTCCCACTCTCCCTATCACCTATTGTGGACTGATTATATCTATATGATATATATAGTGTGCACAGGAAATACCTGCGACTTGTTTCAGGGATTAGTTGGAGATTTGTCTCCAGCTGTGCTAGTCAAAGTCTCTGCCTTTGAGCATAGAGGAACTCAGATGAGGCTATGCCAAAGGGCAAGTTCTCATCCAGGAAAGTAGACAGACCCAAACCTGTTTATGCAGGGTTACAAGGAATTTTTGGTTGAGCTTATGGCCTCGGATTGCCCCACATTAAACTTAGCCTTGTGCCACATACTTTCTTGTAGGGAGGTAGGTAAATATCAACTTGTTTTGGGAATTAGTTGGAAATTTGTCTCCAGCTGTGCTAGTTGAAGACTCTGCCTTTGGGCATAGAAGAACCCAGACAAGGCTATGCCAAAGGGCCAAGTCTCATCTGGGGTGGTAGACAGCTACCAGACCCCATGTATACAGGGACTATGGGGAACTTTTGCCCAAGCATACAGGCTCAGTTTTGCGCCACATTCAAAAAGGCCTTGTGCCACATCTTGCCCCGTGGGGAGGTAAGGTAAATAACCTTACTTTGGGAATTACTAGCATGCTAGCCAATTCCCTGTCTTTCAGTCATATATTCTCTTTTACAATAAACCTCACTTTCTTTCATCTACACTCATGTTGCTGCTCCTTTCACTCGAGTACCACATTTGTCTGTCTGTAACCTTTTAAGGATACAACATATATTAATTCTAAGAGACTCTTAACCAGATTATAGTACTTTTGATTAAAACAGAATTTTCCAGGTTAAAATTTTTATCACAATCGTTTCACTAGTACACAATATCATTGATTGTATTAGTTCATTTTAAGTCCCTTTAAAAAAATTAATTGCAATTAAGTTGAAATCTAATTTCTATAATGTTATAGCGTGAGTAAAAGTTAAGCATTCAGCTGCTTAACACAAATCGTGTTTTGTCAAAGTAGTTTTTGTTCTTTTATTTAATTTAATATTAAAATTTAATTTTTTACGAGACTATTTCAGTTTTATGAGACTATTTCAGTTTAGTTCCTGTTCTACGTATGAGACAAAACACAATTCAAGTTAAGCACTTGAACAACTGATTTTTTTACTTTACTGTTATAGAAATTAGATTTTAATTAATTCCAACTAAGATTTTTTTAATGATCTCTATACTCCACATTGTTTCAATACTGATCGTATATTAATTATAAGAGATTCGTAAATAGATCATAATACTTTTAATTAAAATGGCATTTTCCAGGTTACAGTTTGAGTAAAAGTTATGTATTCAGTTGCTTAACATGAATCATGTTTTGTTGATGTTGTTTTTGTTCTTGTGAAAGTTAATCTTTTTTTTTTCAGATGGTGCAGCATAAGTGGCAAAACATGTCAAATTAAAAAAAGATTTCAAAACTTGTCTTATATATTTATCTTATATATATATATATTTACTATTTCACCATATTCTTATCCAGTTTTCTTTACATACAAGTTCTGATCAAAAAGTATCAGAACTGGTGCTATAAAATTAAAGTGCTATTGAATTACAGCACATATCAATTCAGCTTTTAAGCTCCTTTGAAGTATCCCCCCTTCAGAACCCACACACTTTACCCAGCATTGTTTCCAATGATGGAAGTTTTCCTTTTTAGGACAGTGAACAGCTGTATTGACACATTCTCTTGGATTTTCTTGATGTCTTGAAATAATGTTTCTTTAAAGTGGCATTTGATTTTTAAAGTGAGAAATGTCGACAAGGAAGAAATCTGAGGATTTTAAAGGTTGTTGAATCTGGGGAATGTTGTGTTTAGCTAAAAACAGTTTCACAAGTCATGGTCACTGACAGAACTTCTGTGGTGTGGTAAGACAATCACACTCTACACACTATCCTTCCAAGCACTACTATAAACAACAAAATTTAGCAAGAATTTTATAACTTAGTTTGCATGTGTGATAGAGTTCAAGGTTGATCTGTACCAAGCAGCTTCACTTTGCATATTTCGTTAGATTACCATAAAAACAGTCCTGATACATTTTGATCAGACTTTGTATGTATATATAATGTAATCATTCCACTAACTATTCATAAAATTAGTGTTTATTCAATTAATATTGATAAGTGCATGTGTGGCTTTGTGGGTTTTCTCCAAATGTGGATTCTTTCTCATTCATAGATGTGAGAGACTCTATATCTCCTCCCTCTCAGGTGGAGCACTTATATATCTACCTGTCATACATGTGCATATCCTAAATGCAGCCAGGTCAACCACCGTAAATATCAACAGCAGTAACTGATATGCAATGAAAGTGCAAATTTTGCACCTGGTGGTCAGGTCATCTTTCATGTCAACTGAGTGTTCCACATGGCTTTTCTGACACTACATCTGCATGAAAAGGGAAGAATGAACAGCCAAAAGGTTCCAAATGGCTGGATACTTTCCAAACAAATTGTAGGATCCCCAGATTATCTTCTAATTCTCACATGGTCGACTGCCAATTTCTATTGAGTACAGCCTGCATGTATTCAACCTTTTAGAGTGATGTACTTGATTGAAATAATGTTACGTTAAAGTGGCATTTGATTTTTAAAGTGGGAAAATATCGTAAAGAGAGAGATCTGAGGATTTTCCAGGTTGGTGAACCTGGGGAATGTTGTGTATGGTTAAAAACTGCTGCACTAACCATGGTCACTGACACAACTTCTGTGGTGTGGTAAGACAAAAAAATATAATATATAAAATTTATATATAAAAACCTTCTAGAAAATGAGTCACTTCCACTGGATTCCTAACTAAGTTAGAAGCAGCAGTACTAATGTTTTATCTGAGTTTCAATCATTGAATCATCCCCCAAAAGCCATCTGATCCCTGGAAAACTTTCCACAACCAATGTTCAAGTATCAAACAAATCTTGATGCAATTCTATTGTGACTACAACAGTAACACCAGCTTAATCAATGGCCTATCACTGTTGACTGAGTAATCCTACTGGAGAGTTTCTGTCCATGCATATACACTAAAATTTCTTATAATTGTTTTTATGTTACATCAACGCAGCACAACAGGTTCTTGACAGTTTCAAAATAGCTGAATATTTTCTGAACATACTTCTATATCAATATAAGTAAACTTATATGTTGCTGTGTGAAAGCAACACAGATTGCTTAATTTGTTTTTTTACAGTCTATCAACTTTTTGCGGGTTATCTAAAGCCAGGGAATATTTTTAGATTGTAAGAATTTTGGGAGATAATAATGCTGTTTATGATATAATTAACTTATAGCTGGGGTGAGAATGGGTGGATTTATACCTTTCTCAAGGGTATTTGTGTGCAAGCGTATATAACAAACCCAACCGGAATTGGAACTCGGCTCTCTGATTACCAAATCTGAGCTGTTATCCATTCCACCAACTGTACATTGAAATTTATAGAATTTGGTATTCCAAAGTGGTCACTCCTCTAGGTACTGACCAGGTGTGATGTTGCTTAATTTCAGTGGGACTACAAGAATAACATGAACTAAATCAATATCATATCACCTCTGACTGGGTAAGCCTACTGGAGAGTTTCTGTTCATACATATGTAAATAAAAGTATGATATAATTGGTTTCTAAGTCCCATTAATGCCACACAGCAGGTTCAAGACATTTTCAAAATAATTGGATATTTTTTGAAAGACTCATACCAATGTAAGTAAACATATATCCTTGTGAGAAAGCAATACAGATTGATTGATTAATTTGTTTTTTACGGTCTATCAACCCTTTGCAAGTTATTTAAAGCCAGAAAATATTTTTAGATTGTAAGAATGTTTTGGAGATAATAACATTTTCCCGATACAAGTTCTATGAATTAACCCATAGCTGATGTGAGAAGAGGTAAATTCATACCTTTCCCAAGAATATTTGTGTGTAAATATAACCATCCTAAACTGAATTGGGACTCCGCTCCCCGCTTACCAAATCTGAACTGTTATCCATTACATCACCCACACAACCAAGCTTACTGCATCTGATATTCTCAAGTAGTCAAACAGATATTGACATGGCTCTATGTTGCTTAACTTTGTTGATCTTATGAGAATTGGCATTTCAATGTGATATGGCTGTAAGACATAAAACACCAGAAGAAGTGTAATAGACTCTACCAGCAGAAACTAATGAGCAATTTCAACAGTATGATAAAAGAAAGAGACAAAAAACATTGCTCTTGTTTGATGGAAGTTCTGGGTTCAATCTCTTGAACAAGCACAGCAAGAGTAAATCAGCACTTTGGAAAAAAAAAAAATGACAGAATAGAAATTCAAAGAGAAAGAAGACTATTAAAAAAGTCAGAAAAAAAGCAAACATTAAAAAGCTTTCCTGGATAACATAAGGGATTCTAATCAACATACTGAGAAGTTCAGAAGGGGCAGAGAATAAACCATCCAGAAGAGTTGCAGGAGATTCCAAAGTCGTCTGGAAGTCACGGCTGAAGCCATTGGCAAATTTATTGAATAACTATACTCTTTAGTATTTCAAGATATTTTTGTGTAATTCTGGTGAATATATCTGTTAAAATGAGATATCTGTTATTCGCACTTATGTGTAATTTAGACGACAATTTATCCATCGCACCCTGTATCAAAACCTTCATTCACTTAATAAGCAGATAAACTTTTTGGCCAACCGACTACTATGCATAATTCATAATATTAACTCATTAGAATACTACAGATAATAATACTAAAAAATGGAAAATTACTATTGATACACCTCACTATAATGAAACAGCTTAATATTTCTGAGCACTGCATATAGCGACCTTTTAACCTTAAAATCTCCCCACCCCAAATAGCGGTCCATCTTATACTGCAGGTATAAAATGTGAACCTTAAATCCTGTGGCCTATGGCTGATGCTAGACTCCTGGAGAGCAACAAACTGCACCTTCTTGGTTTCATGTTTTCAACTGACTTGAAGTGGAGTGACTACATCGAATCAACAGCTGCATCTACTGCAAGGAAATTTAGGTTACTGCATCGTGCCAGAAAATTTTTTTTATCAGAGTCCATCTTGTACATTTATAAATCTACCATTTGTCCGTGCATTGAATACTGTTGCTATATCTTGTCTGGTGCTTCTGTTATTCATTTCAAGGTCCTTGACAAAATCCAAAGAAGGATCTGCAATGTAATCGATCCTGACCTGACATCTCAACTTCAGTCACTTTCTCACCGATGTGCCATGGCTTCCTTTTGTCTTTTCTAGAAATACTTTCATGGCAACTGCTATGACAAGCTTTGTCCCCTAGGGCCCCCAACTACATAAATTTAAGCGTGCCACTAGATTGGCATCTAGGTCCTACCCATTTGCTACTGAAATAGTTAAATGCAACTGCCACTTTTCCTTAAACAGTTTTTTTTTCTCACACTTCCCACCTGTGGAACTCCCTCCTGTGTAATTGCTTCCCTCATAAATACAATCAAAAATTTAAATGCAATATCAATCATCATCTATTTTCTTCAATCCCGTACATATTTTGTCCTTTCCTCAATCCTCCCTACACTTGGTCTTTTCTCTCATTTTCTTTCTCTGTAACCCTCTGCATACTAATGGCTTTCCCACCTTGCTTGAGGTGAAATGATAAAAAAGTTGTCAGCATAGGAAATTAAGCTAACCTTTGCCTCACTTACTTTTTACAATGATGTTGAACAAAAACACAACTGGATGTGTATCTCAACAAGCAAAATTTAAAGATTACATTCGAGAACAGTGGAATGAGTGGATGTTTAGCAGGTAAAAGTAATTCAGGCTACCATAATAGCCTACTGAAAACACAGCATCCACTCATATGGTACTGTAGATTGTGGTAGTTAATTGACAATATCTCCCTACCATTTTTTCATTAGAATTTGTGTGAAAAAGAAAGTATATGCTTACTGAATTTATTTAATAAATTCAATACTGTACATTTTAAAATACGATTTGCAGGGGGGGGGTCATCTTGTAGTCCGAAACCTTTACATTTTGTTCAATCATTTCATACAAAGTAAGGTGATAATGTCACTAGGACACAGTGGTTTACAGACAGTGAAAGAGAATGAGAAGACTTTATTGAAGAGAAGCAAAGAAAAGACAATAAAGGAACAGGTTTCAGAAAAAACAGAAATTGTGATTGACATTGCATTTATATTTTTGAAGATTCTAGGTGGCAGGCAAGAAATTAGAATGGAGTTCCACAGGTGAGCAGTGTGGGAAATAAAACTGTTTGAACAAAAGTGATGGTTACATTTAGCTAGTTCAAGAGTAAAACAATGATTTCTTAGTGGCTTTATTGCCTTGCTTAGAGTGAAATGATTTTTTAAAAAATCTAAAGCCTAAACTTTGCACTATAGAGTTAGTCCATTTAAAACAAAACAAAAAAACTTCTTGAAAGCCTGATCTGTCTGCCAAACTTCAATATATAATTGAACATTTAGTACTTCAACCAATAGCTAAAAATAACCAACATCTTTTAAGGTGAGAGTGAGAGTAAGCAAAATGTCCGCCAGGCTTACATCTTCTTCCTTTCACTTCTTTGTCTCTTTTCTTTCTTTTTTCCTACCTGATGTGTCACTCCAATACTCCAAAGTACATACCCCTAATTAGCATTCTGGGTTCATTACCAGCCCCAGCGGTCAGAAGCTTGGCATGGATTGATTACAGATATTCAAGTCATTGTTTTGGACAGTCTATGGCAGCTTGTAATGTTTAGGTAACGAGTCATCTGAAATAGCTTTTAGAATTTCATGTAATGTAGTCTGGGCTTTTCAATTTGTTTGGTATTTTGAATTGACTTTAAAAAGTGCAGACATAGACTCAGTGTGAACAGTGCAGTCAGTGACTGGAAAGTACTAAAAAAGAACAAGATATCCCGAGACATGGACAGCAGAATGATAAAGAGCTACCCCTTTAGATTAAATAGAGGGTTCCGTTCAAAATTTATAGTGACAGTTCTAATGATGAAAAGAAAATAGAGACAAAACATAAGAAAGGAAAAAATGTAAAAGAAAATAATAATGATAATCCAGTCTGAATGTCTGGAATAACTATTTGCAGTTAGACTAATATCTTCATCTTTGTTGTTGCTGTCAAAGTGTTTCGACTGTTGTTCCATCCGGCCTTCCTCAGGTATCTGTTGATCCAAGTAACTCTCAGGGATTATTGAACTGAACCCTTAATTTAACTGTTGTGTAGAAATACCAACTAGCTTTCTCTATAATTATTATGAAAACATATGAGTAGAACATCTGCTCATGGAACAGAGGCAAAAAGTGGGTCGCAAAGGTGTAGCGCTTTCAGTTGTACGCTTGTCACACTGAACTACTGTATTCTCAATCAGTATTGTCATGTGATTAAACCCTTTTTCATTCAACTCTTTTTTTTCCAGTGTTTTTCTTTATAGTCATACTAACCAGCAACTGCATTATAACATTAACCTATGTGGGTGAGTTTTTACCCGTTCAGTAGCGCATGTCTAAGAATATTTCATCTTATTTTTTAATGCCGTTTACTTACTGTTTGCCCTGTTTTCACTGAGTCTAGATCTGTACTACCCTGCCCAGCGATTGAACCCTTAATTACTGTTCTGCCAAATGTTTTAAGGCTGTGGGCTATTGTCCGAAGAGTACAAGTGCAGATTCAGTACAAACATACTAGCTAAGAGTAGCACAAGACTTAGTGGAAACAGTATGAGCAAAAACTGAGCAGTACTAAAAAACAAGACGAGATATCCCTAAACATGGACAGTGAAGCAAGAACAATCTATCACTATAGATTTAATAAAGTGTTCAGAGATTAAATAGAAGGTCCTGCTTGAAATTTTCTGAAAGCTACCCTAACTGACAGATACCAAAAGGAGCCTGGTGGAGGGACACAATAGATGAGACGTTGTAATAACAGAAATAAAAATGAAAATATTAATCCCCCTGTAAATGTTAATAATCCTCTTCCTCGAATTGTCCTCAAAAGAACAGTAGAAACAAGACTAGGAATATCTGAGAAGTGCTAAAAAGAACAAGAGATCCTTAGACAGGGTCAGCAGAATGAGAAAAATGTATTCCTCTATGGTAAATAGACTTTATGAAGCAAGCCACGAATTAGAGATGCCAAAATTAATTAAGTGCATAATTTCAAATATCTGAAAATTGCTTTAATTAAAGATGAAATGGTGATGCCAAAATCTAAAGGTGCAGTGGTATAGCAACAGACGTCTTCGAAGAACTCAGCAAAGTATTAAGAATCAGAATGTAAATGTCGTTAGAAACAATGAAAAGTGTGTTGAACCACTATGCAATATTACTTCCCTTATATAAGAGGGAAAGCAGGACAATTTCTTTGCATATGAAAGGCGACTTGTGATTTTACAGAAGGATGCTGAGAATACTGACCTGGTGCCTCTGCTATATATTTAGAGATTCTTGATAAAATCCAAAGACAAATCTGCAATGTTATTGTTCCTAACTTGGCATCTTGGCTTCAGTCCCTTTCTTACCACCATAACATTATGTGTGGCTTTTCTATAAACACTTTCATGGTAAATGTACTGATTAACTTTCCTCTATGGTACCCATCATTGTGAATATTCATTGGGGTTTCATTTTTAAATGTCATTATTTTTAACCCCCCCTCCACCGCCACAGACAAATTGCACATATGGGAACTAGTTAGGACTTCATAGAGACTTAAGGTATTATGGTGATTGTAGTAATAATGGTAAGTAAGAATGCGTTGTTTTGGTGTAGGAAATACTGTGTTATGTTGGGGGTCAGTAATTGTAGCTAGCTAGGTTTAATTATAAGACAGAAGACGACCAGCCTTCCCCTCCCATTTCCCCTTTAGGCTTTATGCCACATTTGTGTATCGTTACAAAACAAATATTACTTTCCTCTATGGTACCTAGACTTTATGAATTTATGTACAGTGCTAGATTGGCAGCTAGGTCTCATAATTTTACAGGTGAAATGGCTAGGTGTTGCTGTAAGTTCTATGCTAATAGTTTCTTCTATCGCACTTCTCGCTTGTGGAACGCTCTTCTGGCTTCTTGCTACCTAGTCAACTTTGATCTTCCAAAACTTTAAATACAGTGTCAATCGTTATATCCTATCTTCTTAATTCTTGTTCTTTTATTGTTCTCAGAGAGATACAGTAGATTGAGAAATCGGACAGCCGAGTTCAAATTCCAGTTGAGTTCCTTGCATTCACTTATGTGCTAATATACTTAGAATAGAATCCAACTCTTCTCCCTAGTAATTAGTAGGACAAACTGGGTTCTTTAGCCTTGGGTGGCAGCTGGTCTAGGAGAAGGAAAACTCTGAATTCAAAACTGTACATAACCCTGGCAAGGCACATACTATGCAACTAAGGAAAGAGTCATTCGCACTGATTTGATCATAATTACAGTTGACTCCTTTTTTATTGTCCTCTCTCCTTCAGAGTATATTTTTCTTATATTACCTAACATTCAGTAACCTCTTGTGTCTTAGTGGATTTATTACCTTGCTTGGGGGGAAATGATTAAAGGTTATCTGAATCACTAAATCTTACTTATTATAAAACGCAGATTGTATGTGTGTGTCTCTTCGTTTATATATTGGATTGGATTTCCTACATTTTTCAACCGATTTCAACAAAACTTCACAGGACTACATAAAATTATCTTGCGGTGGTTCTGACAGTGCCAAAAATTGGAAAAACACAATTGTTTTTGCACAAAATCAATTTGAAAACACGATTAAGAGGCATCACGAGAATGAAAGGGGGACAACTTATATCGAGTTATACTTATTTTAAAACCCAGGCTGTTTGTGTGTGTGTGTTCATTTATATATGGGATCGGATTTCTTACATTTTTCAACCGATTTCAACAAAACTTCACTTTTTTTTTGGTAGGTAGTGTTTCTTATTGTCTTGCACACTTTTTCTTTATTTTTACATTCAGAATGCTTTAAAAATTCCATTTACAAGACAATTGTTTATAAAATTATTCTATTCAATCGGGAGACTCATAACGATTGAAAACAATGTTTTTGTTTGAGTTTGGGTTTGACCAATTTGTAAAAAAAAAAAAAACTAATTAAGACATGTGTGTCAGTCAACCTTAAACAATAATCTTTGTCAATTTTATTTTTCAGTCTTTATGATGGTCGATACTTGATCTATCTCTTACTGTTACATCCCTGGGCAATGCCGGGCTCTACTGCTAGTACCTGATGAATGCCAGAGATCAGAATGACTAAAATGTCTGATAATAACGACAAAGATGTAAATAAGAAATGTTTTTTAAAAAATAATCATAATTTAATGTAAAAATAATTATTTCATTATGTATGGATGGATTCTGCCATTGAGAACGATGGATAAGTGTTCAGTAAATTTTATTTCTTTTTACTGAGCAATCTGCACATGTGAATTGTTTGAATTGGTCAATTCCCTGTGCCCTGCTCTGCACACTCTCTCTATAATAGCACCATGTCCTGTGCTGGTGCATTGTGTGCTACATGTCAGAGGATGCTACATTCACATGCATTTTGAATAGTAGTTTTCCATCTCCTAGCCACATGTTGTCTGTTGGCTCCTATAAGAAGCTCATCTGCCCTTTGCCAGCCTTCTCCAGGATTATTTGAATTCAGAGTTTTCTGGATGCTAGCCAAGTCTGTAAGGCTCAGTCTGTCCTTCTGTTTAACCCATAGCTGGAGGGAGAACAGGTGGATTCATATCTTTCCCAAGGGTATTTGCACATAAGTGAATGTAACAAACTCGACTTTCTAATTTTTCAGTCCAAGCCCTCATCCATTATGCCACCTGCACATCCAAGCTTACAGCACTTGGTATTCCAAAGTAGCTACCCAACTACGTACTGACCAGGCTCTTCATTGCTTAACTTCTTTGATCAGAAGAGAACTGGTGTATATAATATATATATATATATATATATATATATATATATATATATATATATATATATATATATATATATATATATATATATATATATATATATATATATATATATATATATATATATATATATATATATTATCCTCACTGATAGCATGACTCAGAGTTTCATGCACAACGTAATCTTCAGGTGCTGAGTACAGACTGACTGATATGTAATTAAAATTTTAATAGAATATCTGGTTATCACAATGATGGTGCATATTATGCTGGGAATTCATTTTTTTTAATTTTAAAATATATATTTGCCATTTAAAATAAACGAGATTTGTTCATATATGTATAAAAAATTATTTTAGAGTTGTGAATATTAATTTTTATTATTTTTTTATATCAAGCCTAAAGGAAGTTTTCCAAAAAATCTGGATCAATGCATCAAAGAAGATATTTATTTTTATGCCGACATGTAACCATCAATTAATTTCTTTTGCTTAATATGCTAAGTATACTTCGGTGTTTTAAGACAACTAATTTTTCAGTAAGGCATAAGTTACTGCTATTTCATTTCCCGCTGTAAGATTTGGCTCTTGCTATAATATCCCAGGTGATAAACAGTGTATTAGCAGCATTATTTAACTGCCACCAACATTTAGAGAGAGCAGTGATGTTTTTG